ATAATATATTTTGCTATTTTCTCTTCTGTTTAGCAGTCACTGTTGTTAGGCGACATGACATAAGGGCTGGAATAAAGATGAAGGCTAGACCGTCCAAATTCACAGCCACTTTCTTCCAGTCTTCACAGCTGATGAAGGACTCGGCCCACATCGACCGGGTCCCCCGAAGTATGCAGCCCTTGAATTTAAGCACAGATTTGAAAAAGACTCAAAAGAACCAGGATGCAGCATCTAATATGAAGTTGTTTTTAGTTATTGGACAAGAAATCATCTCAGGGAGCTACTTTGACAATACTGTGAACCTCCTGGTCAATTTGTTCTGCTACAATAACTGTAACTTTTGGTCTCTAAAATTTAAAAAAAATTAATAAAGCAGAAGGTCCAAACTTATGTTTACAACTCGTTTTCTTTTGGAGTCAGTCTGATTTAAGATGGCTGCCACAGATAATTAAAATTAGCAAAGACAAAGATGACCACAACTCACTGAGTTGAAATGTAATGTGGTAGCTAACATGTATTCAGACTGTTAAAAGTGTTGAAAGTTAAAAGTTGCATGCAAGGCTGTGGGCAAATTATGTAAGATTTTATTGCTTTTATTGCATTTTATTTAAAAATATATTTCAGGTCAAAGTTTGCTGTTAGGCTACTAGCGTTCTGGGTGCAAATGGGAAAAAATACATATTTTTTGTAACTTTAGGACCCAAAACCTTTAATGCTGGAGTTTCATCATTATTGAGTGCAGTTTGCTTGGTGCATAATGCATCTGTTTTTGCTTTTTTCATTTGCAGTATTGGCAACCAGTACTTCTTAGATTTATACCACTGATGTCACACTTGGACAACTAAAAACAAGCTAGAAGCAGGTTTTTACAGGCAACTCTTTTCCTCCATGAGAAATTTAATAGACATACAGTAACTACCCACTTCCTGCTGTTTTAGAAAACGTTCTATTTATTTTAAAACAGTAGACGTAACAAACCACCCAGTAAATACTGCCTACTCACTTGTCTTTAACCAATTCTCAGCTTAGGGGGATTTATATTTTGGCTACAAATTATATAATAGTCATTTATTAAACAAAATGTTTATTACAGAATGTAAATGTAACATTTACATTTTGTTCAAACAATGGTTTCTGCAGATTTTTTTTATCAGTTTGGTTCTAAATTATTTTTTATAGTTTTGAGGATTTCTAAATTGTCTCCACTGATTTTTCAATGGATAATAAATTATTAAAAAATCTTTTGAATCTATCTGAAAAAGACTGAATGTAGGTCGCCCAAACAACCACATTATACACACAGTCCCTTTACCATTTGCTTTTTATTCACTCCCACTACAACTGGCTGCTTCTTCACAGCCAGAGGTTGACCTACTATAGTCTGAGACTTCCACCAAAACAAACAATGCATCAAATCTGGCTGCTAATTCTGTTTTCAGCCCTGCAGTAAGACACAGGCCCCGCAGCAGAGCATGTTTCCTCTCACACTAACCTCTCTGTTTATGACCTTCCTCAGTAAACACACAACACGACAAACAGACACTCATTCACCCCCAGTTTTCACATGCCTCCCTCTTTGGGTGTCAGTAGCCTCTGTATGAGCGTCGCTCAAAGAACGGGGTGACCTCGGGGTCGAACACTTAGTTATGTGTGCTTGAGGAGACTCCGGCGAGCTCTTCTTCGCACCAGTTGTCATTCCTCATTTGTTTCTGTTGCCGCCGAGCCCAGCTTTTTTTTTTTTTTTTGGGGGGGGCTAGAGTTCTCGAAAGCTAGCTCAAAGCGCAAAACGCAGGCCGACGGCGTGGGAAAACAAACAAAACAAAACTGCAGCACCACGTATTCACGCCGAGGTAGTGGAGTAGAGCAAAACTCTCGTTCACTCTGATTTTCACAACGCTTCCGCCAAAATCTTTCACGTGGGCTCGTGGAGAAGAGAGACAGCAGCCTCGTGTTCAGTACCTTTGGTTTATTGATGGCTAAAAATGGCCTTCAAAAGCCCAGCAGTGGCTGAAGACTGTCCCCATTTAACTTCATCCAACGACGACTCATTTAATGAAAAAGGCCGGACCACACAGACTTGAGTTCCCATCAGGAGTCTATTCCCTGTGGCTGAGCTTGAAATGTCAGACTACAGCTGGGGGGGTGGGGGGTGCACTAAGTAGAGCCACAGGAGGGATTGTGGGTGTGTGTGTGTGTGTGGGGGGGGGGGGGGTGAAGCCCTGCAGGTAAGCAGGATGAGAAACGGTTCCCTGCATGGCCTGAGGCAAACCGGGCCCTTCTGTAACAACAATTAGCAGACAAGTGCTCCACTGACTCCAAATTAATATTTAATAACAACGAGGTAGTTTGCCCCTGGAAATGAGAGACAAGTAGATGGAGCACTCTATTTTTTTTGTTTACTTGGATGCGCATGGATTAGCTACAACTAAATCAGGGAGCCATAATTAACCACGCCGTCTGTCAAACCAACGGTGTTTCGAATCCTTTCATAGCTCAGTATTATGCGTTTATTCTGACGGCAGCCTCAGCCATTCCTGTTAGTCTCGTGCCTGCTAGAGCCCGGCAACTTTTATGGGCAACTACAAAATAAAAGGCTTTATGACCTTAGCAAACTCTTAGCGTGGTTCCAATGAATATGTGTCTGGGAGGAAATCCAATTAGTTGAAGTAAGTGAATACACCTGGGTGGAAATCTGATAATAATGGGGTTATTAAAGAATGGTGTTTTATTTGAATTCAATACAATTTGAGATTATTCATACCAGTTGCAGAGTGGTAAAAAAATAACCCATTCTTTGTACTTCAACAAGATCCTAGTTCATTCTTACTGAATGCTTTAACTTTTTATAGCTGGAAGTGGATATCGTGTAGAAAGGCCCATGCAAACAAACTAAACCTCCCCTGATAACACAACCATGACCACACTCTGCAGACAGAGGTGCATTTTTATAGCAAGTTGAGATAACACAGATAGTCAAATTGACTTTTTTTATTTTGCATGTCAAACCTTTGCACACGTACTATTAGTGGTAAAATTTTGCATGCTTCCGCCGCTTCTCAACGGCAAAGAAAGATGTCTTGTATAATTTGTAATAATCCCTTTCACCGTGAACATTAACTGAACTGTCAGGAGTCGGAACATAATGATAAACTCATTAAATGTATGTCATCCACTGAGTTTTAGACTAGGATCATCTTATGTAGAGAAATAACAAGAAAAGGAAGCATTTTGGATCAAACCCTTAAAAAAGAAAACTGAAAAATCTCATATGAATTTGTGTACAGTTTGTTCATTAGTTTTTCCATTAAAACTAAAGAACAAACTGTACACAAATTGTTCTTTAGTTTTTCCATTAAAAAAACATACAAAAAAATATCAAACAGCTGCAATTTTTCTATAATTTTGTTGTTGTTTTCAAAACCTACATTTAAAATCGTAAACTCGAACTAATTAAAATTCAGTGTTTGATTTTTGCTTCAATTATTTAAATCCAAAATAAAACATACGGTTGCTGTTTTAATGTGTAGTGATATGAAATGAATGAAGTTGCCAAAGAAGCAGAGTTTACAATGGCTGGAAGGCTGCTAGAAAACAAAAACCATTCCTAAATATCTTGGGTATGGCTGCACTCGACTCCTATTTTGCATAAAATGGAAAATTAAAGCAATTTTGATCAAGATAAAATAGCTCTCAAGATGCGTAGATTCCTTCTAATTAAGGCCATTTCTAAAGTGCTAAGTGAAAATGTAATGTGTTAAGAGTTCAGGCCATGATGATTACCAGCTCTGCCAGAAAGTAACAAATGGTGCACAAAATATAAATGTTGTCTATGCTTTAACCATTAAGATACAAATAAGGAAGAAAAAAACATAGCCATTTACAATTTTGTAACTGTCGTTTTTCTCATTTATTATATATATA